GTCAGAAGCCCTGTTTAAATGCTATTTTAAAGGCTATCAAACAAATCAACAAACCATTTGAGTCATAGTACAGAAAAGTTAGAAACAATTGAAAGGGATGGTTAATACTTTTTTCTCAGTTCTATGGTTTCTGATTTCACTCACCACTTTTGTATTTTAAACTTTAATCGGGATTCAAATAACTTTTAAAATGTATTCTTTTAAATCCCACGAAAAAACTAGAGATAGAATAAAAGGCTTTGTGATCTAAAGCCACTCAACTCAGTTCCATTATCACATTCATAATTATTTGTGGGTTTCCTCCCCCATAGCTCATGGTCCTGTGGTAACCTGAAAGTCATTACAAGCTTCCCCCCATTTTAGTCAGATGTCTGTCCTCCACTCAACTCGTTCCAGCTCTATCCCTATGCCCTGAGTGACGCAGCTCTCTTGCAGCAGCTCTCAAATGCCTCCACATCTACCAAGTTTGATCCTCCTTACCTATTCCACAGAGGCCACTTTCTCCTCCTTGTGCCTTTCCAGGTTACTATACACCACCTTCTCCAAGGCAGGGAGCAGAACCTCCAGGGTAAAGCGGGCACTCTCATTTGCTGGTTCATTTCTTAGTTTACATTAACTGACCACTGAGAAGGTACTTTGAGTTTTTAAAATATTTAATACTGTTACAGTTTTTAGCAGCTGTTGAAAACCTTCTGTGGCTCTCTAAAACCTCGATCCAAGCCCGGGAGGGTGGCACATCAGGTCCTCCATCCACCACCAGGCCGTCCTTCCACATGGATTCCAGCCTTGGCTCTTGCCACCTCCATCTCTCCACTCCTGTTGCATTAAACACCTTGCAGTCATCCTAACAGGGCCTTGCTGCTTCACACCTCCATGTCTTTGCCGGGGACAAATTCATAACCACACAGCCTGCACCTTCATGCCACCATTACTGCAGCTACCACACCTATGACACTTACCTATTTATGTCTATCCTACCCTTCTGGGTCTCTAGCCTGCAGCGGACCTGTCTGACCAACTCCAACTTGGAAAGTGCCTTCCACATCTTACTCTCTAGACCCTCTCTTCCCTTCAGTGACCTCCAAGGTTAAGTCCCATAATCTTAGTGGCTTAGATTGAGCCACTAAGAACTGCAACATTGGCCAGTTTAAATGACTGATATCAAGTTCTCCCTACAGCCATGTCCTCCATTTTTAAAATTTGAAACTCCTATCACTTTAAGCATGCAACACTTTGAAAATAACTTTAAAAACGTTTGTAGACTACATTACCACCGTTGACTCCATGTGTCCCAATGCAAGCTTATTCCCTCCCCCTTTTCTAATGTTAAACTGTAGATTAGCTATTTAATAAAAGTTCTCACTTTGAAATCCAGAAGGTGGTTGTATAGCAGCTTCCTTTACACTCCTAGTTTTCCAATCAGACAAAAAAAGTGTTCACTAAAGAGATCAAAAGTAACTCAAATTTACACCAATATACCTATTTGGCTAACAGAAATTGCCAAGTATAATATGTGTCAACTGAGTCTGGTAATAAAATCAAGGGGAGAAAAGAACCAGAGGTTGACAATAATTTAAATAACTAGTTAAAACCGAAGAAAAAAAAGTACAAATAGACCTGGAGAAATTAACCACTAATTTTGATGTAGTAAAATAAAAATAATCCCTTCCGTTGGTATAGAACACTCATTTCTGCTATGATCTCTATGACATTTCCAATATTATCTCCTCCATAGGCTGGAGAGGTGATATCCCCATTTTACAGTTACACCAGTCAAGACAATAGGACCCTAATTTTGATTACTTCTGGGCTAAAAATAAGAAACTCTTTAGCTGCTCTAGTTTCTTACCTATAAAATGTAGCTGTCTACCCTATCAGCTTCACAGGATAGTTGTGAGAAAACATATGTGAAACTGTTGTGAAACAGTAATAAGTACTAGACAAATGCAATGCATTACCGATCAGAAGAATGACAGGCATAGGGGTAGTGGGGTTTGAATGCAGGAGTCAGAGTTTGTATATAAAGAAAGTCAAAGGAATGATAATAAAAGAGAAAAATCATTTCTTAAAAAGACAAACCTTGTTCATTGTATCATTCTTTCCATTTTCTGTACTTCTTTTTTTTTTCCAAAATATAAAGCTGGGGAAAAAACCAAATCTCAAATTTTAAATCCTTTGTTTCAGGGGTCAGCCCACTATGGCCCACCGGCTGTTTTTGTTGTTTTATTGGAACACAGCCATGCTCATTAGTTGATGTACTTTCTCCCATGGCTGTTGTGCTATAATGGTAGAGCAGTTGTTACGGAGACTGTATGACTCTCAAAGCCTCAAGTATTTCCTATCGGGCTCTTTACAGAAAGCTTGCTAACCCCTGCTTTATTTAATTGTGGAAAGCTATTAGTAATCTCTTCATATGCGTGCCAATAATAATAGGTTATCCCTCATGCTTGGTTCACCTGTTTCAAAAAGGAAAGAAATAAAGCATCCAAGGGAAGAACATTTGACTTTTTATTACTTTTTAAAAATCCAACTTCACTTAGATTAACAGACGAGATTAGAACTTCAAATGTGATACATTATACTGCACTGGATTTCTATTACTAAAAAACCAGTTGGAATATGGCCTACACAAATCACGGGTGGGTACAAAAATGGAAGTAATCATTGAGCATTAACTGTTTCCTTTCAACTCTGTCACCGATTGTCTGTACTCTGTGGGGATTTATAGATTCATGTTTGACACAGTTGAAAATCCCAAGTGGGACTGCTTTTCCAAAGATACTCTGTTGTCCTTCAAATAGAACGCCATGTTATTTCCTCCTTGCCTAAGCTCTTACTTGTAATGTTTATAGCTTTCAAATGACCTAAACTGATGAATTACAGTTAACACACAGAATGCTGCTTTATCAGTCAATTATTAGCAAGACTCGTTCACCAGTACTTCAAGGTAAACATTCTTCACAACAGTTTATTTCCATCTCCTAATACAGTGAAACAAGAACTTATAACTTTAAGTGAAACTTAAAACTTTACTTTTGTCTTTGCACAATTCTGCCTACAGTTCCAAAGAGAATATCAAATTAGATGGCTTTTAGAAAATGCTCATAGGAGAGAACAAGAGTTATTCCTCATAATGAATTTAAATTTTATAAAATTTCTGCAGCTATATGTCCACTTTCTGAACTACCCTACCTCTAAATCTAGTCTATTTCTATACATACTTCCAAACAATCTTTATAAATTTTCACTTCTCTGATCTCCTTAACATCTCGATTGCTAAAATATAGCTTCATAAGTATGCAATTTTTATGAAGATATAAAACACTAATGAATACTTGTGTTCTCATATGTCACTACTCCTATTTATTACGTGTTCCAATAAATCAACAGAATGAAGCACTAAGACACGCTGAAATCTAAACTTAAAACCCAGATGGAACTGCAGTGTATAGATTACAAATAGGCTTTTCTTTCCCAGCCCTTCGGTATATAGCTTTTCCTGAACAAATGACATTAATACATTTTTTTCTTTTTTACATTTGTAAAAATTCAGGAAATCTTAAAATAATATTTATTTCCAAGACGTTTGGCATAAGGTGATCAATAAACATTTAGGAAACAAAAGCTTTATCGAAATGAATACAATTTGTGGATAAACCCTGAATAAGTGGCTTTTGGAAGAACTGGAATTTGCAGCAGCCGCCTTTAGAAAGAGGGCCATCCACTTGCAATGGAAAACACTCAAGCATACCGTTCACTAGGTTCAGAAATCACCACAATATAATGAATTCTAAGTGCGTGGGGCTCAATTTATGGGCAAACTCAGCACAATCTACGAGCCCAACATGATATACTAAAGAATGCTTTACCACCCTTCCAGCCATTACACTTCCACCTTATCCTACTCTTGTACTAGGATATATGTATTAACAATGTCACTTACTAATGTACCTAAATTTCAGGAGAATCGTGCTTACGGATACAAATCCCCAGTTTCTGAGAGTGTTCAAAGCATCAGCTGATAAGTTGAGCAAATGTTAACAAATGAAAGACAACTAGCATTTATGGAGTGGAAAAGCCCTACCCTTTAATTAACTTAAATAACATATTTTACCATTCTACACTGAGAGCTAGGGAGCTAAACTATTTGTGGATTACATCTTCTTCAAGAGACACACACACACACCCAGCCCCTCTAGGAAGCCATAAACCAAAACCTATTTTTTAAAGGACTTTTCAAGGTGACTTATACTCATTTTAATGGAGCTCTTAATGTATGTGGAAATTAGAAAATTATTTTTCAGTGAAGATTCCAAAGGACTTTAAATACAGATCAATTTAGTAAAAGAATCGGTGTACCTGAAAGCAGCTAAACCACTCATTCTTTAAAACCCCTACACCTTACTTGCAAGATTCATGAGATACAAATTTCATTTTATTAAGACAAAAGCTTGCCACCCAATTTACAATCTATCAGACTCTATGTTCTTATAAGTACTTTACACGTAGTTTAAAAGTTACATAATATAAACCATTAAGTACTGACTTTTAGTTCCTTTTCTTGTAAGATCTTAAAGAAAGGTGTGAGAGGAAAGAGAAAATGGAGGAACCAGTAGATTACACTTAATATTTTGGTTTGAAGAAGAGGATTTACCTACAGCTTTTGATCAAATTTCTGTTTGTTCATGTCAGCCATACTTAAGTAGTAAGAAATCAAATTTTTCACCCTTATAGTCCTTACATGCTACATTATAGGATGCAGTCTCTTAATTTATAGAAACATATTTTGTAATGAAAACACCTTACGTAACTCTGAATGCCATGAGTTTCACATTAAGGTTTAAATTACAGCTGTTTCGAGTCTTTCTAAAAATACCAATATACAGTATTGTTTTAGGTGGTCATTTGCATAGCAAACTATTAAACCAGAAACTCAGTGGGTCTAGGAAAACTTCACATTATGGATCGTTCCAGAAAGATGTATTCAAAATTAAAATTACTTCTCTTAGAAAACTATAACCTTTATTTGCTCATCCCCTAGTAAGCTAACCACTTTTACCCATCCCCACTTTACATGGTACACCAACCTGAACAGATTTTGTGCCACAATTTCATTCAAAGGGCTTCTCATTCACTTTGTGACTGTACTGGATAATCTACATGTAAGCAAGTTCAGGGATTTTAAAGTAATTGTCCCCTGTATTAGAAAAGCATGGTTTATAGTATAGTAAAAAATTTGCATTCAGTAATTGCCTTTTGAAAAAGATATCTTCAAATTGCAAACACATGTATTTTCACAAAACAATTTGGTCAGGAAGTTTTATTTTAACATTCTAAAGCAGTAACGCTTTAGATGTTACTTAAGTGCCCCAGACAGGATTAACAAGAGTAAATGTTTCTAAATTACAAATTTAGCTCCTGTAGGAGTCTCAGGAAAAAAACAAACAATCCCCCCTCCCAAAAGAAGTATGAACACACACATTTTGAAGAAACCCCATTGTTTCATGCAGTGGTAGGCAAGATGTAAAAAGCCACCCAAATTCACACATTTCTACACCAATCATATCAGAAAAAAGTACTCCGTAGTCAATCTGTACATCCAAATGCATTTGGGAATCTACACCTACGTTACATTATTTAATGTTATATACATTTATTACCCACCCCCCTTGTTTTTAATAATTTCTTATGTAAAACCTTCATTCAAACCCCAAAAAGATGTAAGACTAACTTGGGGGGAGGGGGCAGATAATCACTTTAGACATTCAGTTAAAATGTAGTTTATCTAAATCACAAAATGTTTAATAAAAACAAATATCTCCTCCATTTAATACTTTGCTTTCTAACTGTACAGTAAATTGCATTGTAGAGAGTACACCTCTATCTTCAGACTGTATCTTCTTTGGATGGAATTAAGATGTAATTGGATAGTTTTAAGATAAATAAATGGGAAGTTGGCCCAACTAAGATGACAGCAGATATATTACACGCAGGATTTAATATTTTTAAATTCTCTCTGTAAAAAAAAGAAAAAAAGGATGCAGTTGAATTGGGAAAAAAAAAAAAAAAAAGGCAGGTCAAAAAAGAACCCAGGTTCAATATATAAAAATGTCCCACAATAAGTTGACGATGGCAGTAAAAATAAGAGAAAAAATTAATCTTTCTGGAACATCATTTTTCAATAACATAGAAACACTAGTGCCAGGAAGATTTCTATTCATGTAATTTTAGCATCCAAGTTTCCCTCTATTTATTTTATTGGAACAAATGCTTTAAATAAACTATTTGTCCTCTTCACTGAAGAGAGCTGGTCTATTTCATCTTTAATGAGCTAGTTTTTGGGAAGATTAGCCATGTACTGTAGTAATGCCTACTGCATAAAATCCAAGCATTTGCTGTGAACAGTTGGAGAAAGCAGTCAGTTAAGAACCTAGGATCAATGGAAATAGATGTTACTTTAAGCCATCCACGAAAGAGAGACCCACAAAGTACCCAGTGTTAAAGCCCAAATCTCTTCTTGCGCTTTTTTTGCTGTCCAAGTTCCACCCCTGTGAAAGAGAAATTGATCCGAAGTTCCAGGTTTTATTGGGTCTTTAGTCAATTTTCACATTAGTATAGATTTTTCGGACAAAGGCACTTGTTCCCATGTAACCAATTGCTCCTGTAAAGATAAAATAAGATGTTTTGAAACAAATACATACAGAGCAGTATCCATCATTTACAAACACTAAATGCTCTCTGCTCTGGAAAGGTATTATTTTTCCAAGATAACATCTTTTGTTAGTATTCTCTCTGAACTTATTAAAATAGTGTCATTTGTTCTGCAAATCACCTGTTACTGTAATAACCAAGTTTGACCTGATGTAATATTTTTATAATTAAATATCAATTAATACATGAAATTATGAACTATATGAATTAAAATAATCTCCTATAAAGAATAATTTCAGAATGACAAAAATTTGTTAAATGAAAAAAACATGTTTTTTTAAAATTTAAGCATAGATTATTCTAGGTCATTAAAACAATATTAACATGTTCCCCAAACCATATGATACCTTATGGATAATTCAGTAAGAAGTGACTGCGGATTCTCTCAGGGAAGGACTGAGAACCACGACCAAGTGCCATTTGAAGCTCTAGAGAGGAGGCTTCTTTTTTTTTTTTTTGGCGGTACGCGGGCCTCTCACTGTTGTGGCCTCTCCCGTTGCGGAGCACAGGCTCCGGACACGCAGGCCCAGCGGCCATGGCTCACGGGCCCAGCCGCTCCGTGGCATGTGGGATCTTCCCGGATCGGGGCACGAACCCGTGTCCCCTGCATCGGCAGGCGGACTCTCAACCACTGCGCAACCACGGAAGCCCCAAGGCTTATTTTATGTTTAAATTGTAGAGGCTATGTGATTGGTAGAAAGGCAGGCATTTGAGGGCATGCATAAGAGAGACAGGTAAGTAGATCACGAGTTTTTGAATAATTAGCTTCAAATGGGACCCAAAACACCAGAGAACACGGGTGTTTTTGTCTGTTTTGTTAAATTAAGTTTCTGCCTCCTGGGCCTAAAAAAGTACTTGGCACATGATAAGATACTCAATAAATATTTGTTGAATGAATAAATTAACTGTATAGTTCTTTAGAGCAAGTAGTAAGGGATCTTTAAAACAAGACAGTTGGTCATTCATATCATAGAGAAGATTCTCCACTGGATTTAGGAATTTACCATCTAAGCCCATTATTCAAAGTCTAAAAGTATATCTTCCATGAGTTTAACGATACACACATATACACCTAATTGTCCACCTTTGAACTGACTTTTATTTGCCCAACAGGTGTATGCAAGGAAAAAATAAGTCTCTTCTGCCTTTACGTATGTAAACTACCTCAAAGGAACCAAATGGCTGATAAAAGGAAGTTTCTCCTTAGAGAAGTATCCCAGCTAACAAATATAAAAGGAACAACAGAACGAGAATATTATAACCACTAACGACTTACTTGAGCTAGGCAATAATTATCAATGGCTGCTAACCTCACAGAGACAACCAGACATTAAGTGCCTCCTTATGAAAGTTCACAAACCACCTGCTAAGTATTCTTGGACAAGTATTAATATTCTTGAGTAGGACTAAGTCTGCAACTGTAACTACCACTTTACAGAAAATATGGGGGGGAAGAAGTACATAGAGAAGCATTAAATAACACCTTAGGGATATAATCAGCAAAATCCAGAGTGTGAAAAACTCTACAGGAATTAAAACAAACCAACCAAAACCCAAGTTTCTTAAATAATTGCAAGGGAAAAGAGAGCAAACTGGATCTTGATGCAAACAAACTGTATTAAAAGAGAAATGAGGATGTGTGGGGTAAATTTGAACACTAAGTGAATATTTGAGCATATTAATAAATTATACTTATATACTGAATATATACTGAAATAATTTTATATATTATATTATATAACTGCATTCTTCCATATTATAGTTATACAATTATAGTATATAAACATTGCACATTTTATATATATACACACACACATATATATACACACATACATACACACACACACACAAACACACACTGAAATATTTACAGTTGAAATAACATGAGGTCCAAGATTCATGTCAGAAAAAAAGCGGGGTAAGGTGGGACTATAAATAAGACAAGATTGGCTACCAGTTGATAATTACTGATTTGTTAGGTGTGTTAGGTACATGGGGACTCACTACATATATATTACTGTTCCTCTTTTTGTATATATTTGAAAACTCCCCATTATTAAATATTGAAAATATTTTTAAAAACCCACCCAAACAAAGCAAACCTATTTTTGCAATGAACAGACATTTATTTTTTAATATGAAATAATTATACTACACTTGAAAATAGTGATAATTCACTTTGAAAGAATTATATACAAGTCCTTACAAGGTAAGAGAAAATACCATTCAATTTTATAAAAATAAACCTGAATTCTTATAAAAATATCTATAAAATTTTAAGTAGAATCAAAAATTTAACTGGCATAATACACTAGTCCAATAACCAAATCCAGTTTTCCAGACTTACAAAAGCTTGTTCCCTTTTGAGCAGAGATACGCTTAAAAGCAAAACAGTATCAACCTAGAGTATCATTTTTCCTAATCTTATGAGTATCTCAAGAATAAGCTTATAAAAATATGGCTTTATAAAAGGAAGATAGCGAATATGCACTCTAGAAAAGTAAATGTCTTGGGAATAATACACTTTTAAACTTAATTTCCTTAAAACTAAAATGCTATGCTCAAAATATAAAGTCTACAACAATATCTAATTATTTCCCACCTTAACATAATTACTTATTTTTCCTACATTAAAAAAAATCAAATATTTTTCTTTCAATTACTGACTGAAAAAGCATTTTTAGCAACATAACCTGATGCGTATGTATAACTTTTGTATCATGATGACATTTTAATCATTTCCACTGTGAAATGTTTCCCCTCCCCCCAAAACACAAATTAACACTGAAGGCATATAAACCCTTTAAAGAATAAATGTTGGGACATTGCCAAAACAGCAGGGAACTGTAAATGTGCCAAGACTGTTAGGCAGTAAGATGAAATTTCAACAGGAAATGCGTTCAAAAACTTTAGCTAAATTAATTCCATTTTCTTTGTAAATGTCAAGATATTACCTCTCCAGGTCTTCCTTAAATCATATTATAGAAAGATTCAAGAAAAAAGTAATCTTCTGCATAATCCTATGACTCCATACCTCATTGATTGCTGGTGATAATCAAGAAAGTTCTCAGAGGAGGAACCAAGACGGTGGAGTAGAAGGACGTGCTCTCACTCCCTCTTGTGAGAACACCAGAATCACAACTAGCTGCTGGACAATCATCGACAGGAAGACACTGGAACTCACCAAAAAAGATACCCCACATCCAAAGACAAAGGAGAAGCCACAATGAGACAGTACGAGGGGCGTAATCACAGTAAAATCAAATCCTGTAATTGCTGGGTGGGTGACTCACAGACTGAAGGACACTTATACCACAGAAGTCCACCCGCTGGATTGAAGGTTCTGAGTCCCACATCAGGCTTCCCAACCTGGGGGTCCAGCAACGGGAGGTGGAATTCCTAGAGAATAACACTGTGAAGCCTAGTGGGATTTGACAGCAGGACTTCAACAGGACTCGGGGAAACAGAGACTCCACTCTTGGAAGGCACACACAAAGTAGTGTGCGCATCAGGACCCAGGAGTAGGAGCAGTGACCCCACGGGAGACTGAACCAGACCTACTTGCTAGTGTTGGAGGGTCTCCTGCAGAGGTCAGGGGTGGCTGTGGTTCACCGTGGGGAAAAGGAAACTGGCAGCAGAAGTTCTGGGAAGTGCTCCTTGGCGTGAGCCCTCCCAGAGTCTGTCATTAGCCCCACCAAAGAGCCCAGGTAGGCTCCAGTGCTGGGCTACCTCAGGCCAAACAACCAAGAGGGAGGGAACCCAGCCCCACCCATCAACAGTCAAGCAGATTAAAGCTTTACTGAGCTCTGCCCACCAGAGCAACAGTCAGCTCTACCCACCACCAGTCCCTCCCAACAGGAAATTTACACAAGTCCCTTAGATAGCCTCATCCACCAGAAGGCAGACAGCAGAAGCAAGAAAAACTACAATCCTGCAGCCTGTGGAACAAAAACCACATACACAGAAAGACAGACAAAGTAAAAAGGCAGAGGACTATGTACCACCAGATGAAGGAACAAGATAAAACCCCAGAAAAACAACTAAATGAAGTGGAGACAGGCAACCTTCCAGAAAAAGAATTCAGAATAATGATAGTGAAGATGATCCAGGACCTCGGAAAGAGAATGGAGGCAAAGATCGAGAAGATGCAAGAAATGTTAAACAAAGACCTAGAAGAATTAAAGAACAAACAAACAGGGATGAACAATACAATAACTGAAATGAAAACTACACTAGAAGGAATCAACAGCAGAATAACTGAGGCAGAAGGACGGATAAGTGACCTGGAACACAGAATTGTGGGATTCACTGCTGTGGAACAGAATAAAGAAAAAAGGATGAAAAGAAATGAAGACAGCCTAAGAGACCTCTGGGACAACATTAAACGCAACAACATTTGCATTATAGGGGTCCCAGAAGGAGAAGAGAGAGAGGAAGGACCAGAGAAAATATTTTAAGAGATTATAGTTGAAAATTCCCTAACATGGGAAAGAAAACAGCCACCCAAGTCCAGGAAGCGCAGAGTCCCATACAGGATAAACCCAAGGAGAAACATGCCAAGACACACAGTAATCAAACTGACAAAAATTAAAGACAAAGAAAAATTACTGAAAGCAACAAGGGAAAAATGACAAATAACATACAAGGGAACTCCCATAACGTTAACAGCTGATTTCTCAGCAGAAACTCTACAAGCCAGAAGGGAGTGGCATGATATACTTAAAGTGATGAAAGGGAAGAACCTACAACCAAGATTACCCTACCAGGCAGGATCTCATTCAGATTTGCTGGAGAAATCAAAAATTTTACCGACAAGCAAAAGCTAAGAGAATTCAGCACCACCAAACCAGCTCTACAACAAATGCTAAAGGAACTTCTCTAAGTGAGAAACACAAGAGAAGAAAAGGACCTACAAAAAACAAACCCAAAACAATTAAGAAAATGGTCACA